TTCAGATAGAAAGAAAAGAAAAACTTTGGCTTTAGAAAGCAAACAAAGCTCTTGTTTTCCGTCCCTGATTCATTCTGGGTGTCCAGGACGCTAAAACATCTCATTTCAAATGAAAAAATCCAAAAAAATTCTAAGTGAAAAAAGTCGGTATTTTCGGTATCGGTATTTCGGTATGAATATCGATACCGGTGCATACCTATATTTAGATCAAGTTATTTTAGCATTAGATTTACAGAATTACATACCTAAGATTCCTTTTTTCATTTTCTGTTTTTCTCTTTTCCTTGAGGAATAAACATTTAATCAGTCTAATGCGTCGCTCAAAAAATCTCGATTTTGAGAAGGTTTTCAGCTTTTTGCCATAACATCTTACAGAAAGGTAGAAAACAAACAAAAAAAGAATAATCTTAGAAATAATATGCAGTATCTCCAGTAGAAATTCGAGTTCGATCGGATAAACTATAAGAGTGGGAAAAGGTGGTAATGTAGGCGACGTTTGGTGATATTGTCGATTTGGAACCTCTATAAGACCATATTAGCAAGTGATAAGGCCAAAGAGAATATATATATATTCCTATAATTAATTAGCACAGTTAATGTGTTCTTTGATGTGCTATATATATATATAAGAGTAATGAAAAGAAGGAATAAAAATTTAAACAGTAGTACGTCCCTCGAAAAATCTCGGTTTTTGAGGAAATTTTCAGCTTTTTGCCGTAACATCTTACAGGAAGAACGTAGAAATTAAAACGATTTTTATTTAAATTTTGAATAATTGTAAAGTACCTATGAAACGTTTTTTAGTAACTCGTAAAGTTGTGCTAATTTCTGATTATTTATCTATTCTGAAATGGTCCGAGTCTTAACAACACATACAAAAGACCCATTTCTGGATATGCACCACCATCAAGATGATACCTAATTAGATAGTTTAACCCTTTGGTGACGGGAGACGTATATATACGTCCGGTCTTCCTACTAGAGAGAAAATTATCTATACAATTTTGTTTGTTCGAAAACCGAATGTTAAGTATGCTGTTAGACCCAGTTTTGTCTGCTGATCTCAAATATGTTATTACTTTTGCTTGAAAATATAATGGAAGTGAAAGGGCGCAAAATAAATGAAATGGCGAAAGTCAGACGTGAATGTGTAATCTTTCTGACAAATGTTTCCCATACGCTTTTCGGAATTATAGATTTCTATGATTATGATGTACATTGCATGCAGATTCTATAGTATAAAGAGCGACCCTTAGTTCGCCACCCTCACTCTTCTACGTATGTTTCACTCGTGGGTGCTCGTTCTCAATGAATTTCCAGAAGCACACAATAGTTAACCTTCATACTTTGATTAGATAATCTACGGACACTGTAAAGCCTTTGATGCGAATTTGAAGTCAAAATGATGTTCCTAGACTGAGTTGTGAATTTTTTTTCGAAAAGGAGCTCGAATTTTCAACAAAAAACCGCTCGTAAAATAGTTATATTTCATTGACCACACTAACTCCCAACTCACAAAATTCATATCGTAGATAGAGTAGAGTCAAAGCTACATTTCAGTAAAAAAGAAAAGTTTTCATCTTTCTTAGATGAGGAGCTATTACTATTTTACGGAAAAGAATAAATCACTTATACCTCACGAACCATCTAGTAAAACAGATCCACACTTGGCGGATGATCCGCATTCGGTAAGAGCTACGCCCACACAAAATTAGAAGTCACTAGCTGTTATGATTTTTGAGTTATAGGAGTATCGCTACATTTGCCTATATATGGGCTTCCCGTCGCCAAAGGGTTAAGCATTCTCTGACAGTTATCGTTTGCAACTGCTATGTGTATAATGAGTGCAATTTTGTATAAATATTATGATTTTTAAAAATGTACAATGTTTATATTTTAATTATGTCTTAGGTATTGCATATTATAAAGACGTAACAATTGTTATACTTGATACAGAAGGTTTATTATCATTAGAAGAGTCTGGTTCCATTTTTGATAATCAAATGATAACAATGGCAGTATTATCGTCACATATTGTACTTATTAATCACAAGGGCGAATTAAGTTCTAATTTGGAAGGCTTAATTGGTATGAGTCTATATGCAAAATTACAACTTCAAAATTCACCATTAAAACCAAAATTATTATTTGTATTACGTGATCAAATGGATCGTAATAAAAAAATATTTTGTGAACAATTAAGTCAATTTAAAGATAATTTACAAACAAGTAGTCGATTTTTAAAAGTATCAATTGATGATGAATTAGAAATAAAACATGAAAATATTGTTTTATTACCAAGTGCATTTTCTGAAGATATAAATTCAGATTTAAATATACAACAACGTTGGCGTAATCAAACATTTCCAATAATGATAAATGAATTAAGATTAAATATATTTAATGGTTTAAATGAACAAATAATAAAACAAAATCATGGTTATAAAGATTTTGATTATTTATATAATAAATTAACAAATAATTGGAAATCTATTGATGAATTAGGACAAGGTTTATTAATGTGTAAAACATTACATGAATTAAGTACATCAAATGAATTAAAAGATATAGCTAAAAAAATAATTATTATGAAATCAACAACTTTATTAAATGAAGGTAAATTATTATTAGATGGTGAATTAGAAAAACAAAGACAATTAATAATATCAAATGTAACTATAAATAATGCTGATATACATTTAAAACAATTTATTCAACAAGGTAAAAGAAATTTAGAAAATTTAACAATATGTCTTGTACGTGAAGCTAATGATGAATATGATAATCATACACAAAAATCATATTTTATTGATATGAAAGAAAGAATAAGTAAAAATATAGAACCATCAATACGTTGTAATCAACAATTATTAGAACAACGATTTGAAGAAGATTCATATACAATAGCACAAACAAATGCAACAATACATGTACAAAAACAATTATTAGATAGTGCTAAACAATATTTTGATAAAGAAATAAGAATAAAAACTAATATAAATGAATTAGAAAATGCATTAAATAAAAGACATAATGAATTAGTTAAAGAATTTCAACAACGTTTAGATTCATTCAAAAAATCACAGAATGATGTTACACAAACAATATTAAATAATTATAATCGTTTAGTTGAAGGAAGACGTGATACAGCATTGAAAACAGATATATATAATCGTTGTCCAACATTAGATATTAATAAATATCATTCTTATTGTAATATCTTAAATATATTATTTGATTACATTCGAGCATATTTATCAATTCCAGAAAAAGATGCAAAAAAATCATCTTGGTTAGATTCCTTATTTAATAGTTCAAATTCCAATACAAAACGTCAATGGGAAAATTTAAGAATAAATTCGGATTGGTTTGTAGATCATCGTGATGATGACAAAAATAAAAGTATTTTTAAAACAGTTGTGAATAATTTAATTCCACAATTAAATCAAAATATATTAAGTATGTTATCAACTTTAAAATTATCATATTCTGATCCACAAACAATAATGTCATTAATTAGTCATGTTGATAATGCTATGAATGGACAAACATCATGTATACAAGAAAATTTTAAATATTTAAATATAGTACGAATAACATGGGATTTAATTGTTATTGCACTAAGTTTACTAATTGATGAAGCTATAAAAATAGTTGATCTCAAACATGAAGAATTAAGAAAAGCAATTAGTAAATTAGATAAATGGAAACAAGATATAAAAGATCAATTTATTGTAATGGGAAATTCAGCTGGACAAGGTAGAAAATTTAGACAAGATTTAGAAAATCAAATTATGTCAGAAATTGTTCGTATTTATAAACAAAAAACAAGTGATGCAATTGGTCTGAATATGTCAACAAGTACACATATTGAAGCAGAAAAAATTGCACGTAGTGCATATGATGAAAGTATTGGATCACAACCACCAAATGGTGATAATATATTAAAATATGTTTATGATATTAATCGTTATTATCCTGAAATAGCATTAGAAAAAGTTCAGTTGAGTAAAGATAATATAGTTAATGATCAAATAAGTAAATTAAAAATAATTATGAATGATTGTATTAAACAAGCTATAAATGTTGTCAAAAAACCAAATCTATGTAGAAATGTTAAAGAAGTCTATATAGAAATAGCAAAACAGTTAGATGTAGTTTTACCCGGATTTACAGCATCAGAAATGATTGGTATAGCGGCTGAAATCGGTAATCCAGATCAATTTATACAAGCTTTTCAACAAATTGAATCCAGTCAACGTGAAATGGAAAAACGTATTGATATACTTCGAGGTGAATTTGAAGATGTGGCTACTGAATCATGTAAAACAACAATTCGTACACGCCTTGGTTGTCAGACCTGTTGTCCAACTTGTGGAGCAAAATGTGATAATCCAGAGTTAAGTCATGAAAATCATAGAAGTACTGAACATATTGCAATGGCATTTAAAGGAGTGAAGCACCACAATATAAACACACCAACATTGGAATTATGTTATCAGAAATTGCAAACTGGTTCTTTCATACTTAAAAACGAAAGATTTACCCCAAGAATAAAATATTATGAGGCTAGAGCACCAAGCTGGCTTAATGATTTAGACTCGAAATTCCAAAATGGAACACTTCGTAGTGAATCATATCCACCACCTGAACAACGTCGAGCATGGATGGCTGTACGGAATGCATTGGTAGCTCATTATAAGATGACAGATCATACTTCATACGATAATAATATGTATCCATCATCAATACATAGTTTGCCACCCGAATATATTCCAAAATGGAAATAGAAATGAGATTTGTTTTGTTCGATTATCTGATTTAAATATACTTCAGCATAATTTTTCAACAATCAGTTGTCACATTTATTTGTTGATAATATATTTTAGACTCCGAACTTAAAATTAGCTAAGTCAAATGATGTATAGAATTTGAGTTGGAAATGTTTTGCGAAGAAAACTTCACCGTTCAATTAACTAAGTTGTGTGATAACAGCACTTTGTCTGTTTTCCAAAAACATAGTCATTGACTCACCCTCACAGTACAATGTCCTAGGACCCTATCATTTAGTCAGTATATTCTTAATATATATTCGCTTTTATGTGCAGAGTTTTGTTGAAAAATATGAATCCATAATAAAGTGATTAAATTTCCAATTGGACTTATTTATAGCATATGTAGACAATGGAATAATCGTTGCCTGTTTCGATACATTGAACTTTGCAAAGCTTCATGCTGAATTTTTTACATTTGCATAACAATTTGTACAGAAATATTTACTCTACAAAATGAAAAGTGTAGTTTTTATTTGGTGCCAGTTAGACTCAATAGAACTGAGTGTGAAAGCTTATACTAAACAGAACACAAAAAACATACCAAAAAAATTACTACTGATAAGTCAAATGGATAACTTCAATCGTTGTACAGAGTATAGATACAGAACAGTGGATTTAGTTTTGCAGTTTACTGCAAAGCTAAGTTCATGTGTTCGAATCTCTATTCGTACAAAAATTGATTTTGTGTTTTTCGATAGTTTTAGTTTTGAATACTATAATGGAATATTGTTCCGCTTGTATTATGGCAGAATAAAGTTTAAGCTTCTACCAACTGCGTGTGTCTGTGCGAATGAAAATATGTGTAGCTGCTTCGAGCTTCTAGCCAACAAAAGATGTGATGCATTGATGGAAAACCAATTTTCCAGACAATTTTCCATAAATTAGAATATATTCACTGTAGAGAACTTCCAGAAAACGTTGCCCTCCAGTCTTATTAACTCAAGATCGCACTGATTAAGAAACTTGGCTTCTACCTGATATCCCAAAAGACTAGAGAAGATTACAAAATGATCGAAAAGTAGTTTTAGGCCTCTGTTCGACTAATTACTGTCGACTCATTTTCTTATTCAGAACATCCCGAACGCATTGAAGCTTTCCAAAGTTTAAACCGCACGGTTCGGTCCGGTTAGAAAATTCTCAACCAGTTTCAACTCCGAAGCTGAGTAGTAGAATCTGTCGGCTGTGCACAGACTCTTAGATTTCTTAGACTTTTACATAACCATCTCCTAGTGTCTGTAGTCATAATGTTGAGTTATCTCAGTTTCGATAAGCTGTGGACTTTTCATTTCAGAAATATTTACTGCTCAAATAAACCAAATCGTACTTCCCTGTGTTTCTCAATTCTGATTCGACATATGATTTTAAATGATCTTAAATTAAAGGTAAGAAAGACTGATGTCTCTTAGTTTATTCATGTGTTGATGATGTGTTGATGATGTTCACTACATTCTGTCACTAATGGCAAAGCGATCTGACGCTGAATGCATTTTCTTACTTCTGTGCTTTTTTATGTTGAGATCATGGACAATCACTTCGTTTAACTGAGCCCTCGCAGAAGAAGATATTCTAGATTTGATGCATTAATTGAAAAAGTTAGTTGTTTATTGAAATATCACTGCATATGTAAAAGTACATGTCGCACATGTCTCTGCATACGCTCATCGGACTTAGCATACGTAAAAGCCTACGATGTCAAAAACATGCCCACATGGGTCAATAGTCGAAATACTTGGTCGATATAATGATTTTCGCCTATCTTAGTGCTTCCAAAACTCCGTTAGTCGTTTTCCTAGCAGAATGAAAAACTATGCATTGTTCGAAAGCATACCATTAGATAGCCCTTGAAATTCTCTACAAAGTGAGCTGGTTACAATATCCAGACAGGTGGGGCCAGTCATTAAAGATATGGAAAAGAAGCTTTTGGGTGTTATCGAAGCAGTACAATGTGTCATAATCACAAGAACTCTCTTGTTTTGACCATTTAGTAAAAGCTGGAACCAATCTGACTAATGTTTTGAATAACAACAAGATTTTGCTATCAAATGAGGTGCAAATCGCCCCTTCATGAGAAAAGTTCATAATAAGTCTTCTGGAAAACCAGATCGCTGAAAAATCAAATCCTTAGGTTTTACTGAGAAAATTTTGCAAATCATCTAGCCCGAGAGAGCAAAGAATTCTGAGCAAAATAAGACAGCTCTCCCCATTCTATAGTGCTTTTTCACGTACTTTATTCATAGTACTTGCGCGCCCTTGTGCAGTGGTCGACTGCAGTTATGTGAGAAAGCACTATGGAATGCCGGGAGCTGTCTTATTTTGCTCAGAATACAAAGCTTCTTTTCCATATCTTTAATGACTGACCCCACCTGTCTGGATATTGTGACCAGCTCACTTTGTAGAGAATTTGAAGGGCTATCCAATGGTATGTTTTTGAACAATGCATAATTTTTCATTCTGGTAGAAAAACGACTAACGGAGTGTTGAAAACATCAAGATAGGCGAAAATCATTATATCGGCTATTTCGACTATTGACCCATGTGGGTGACCCAACTGGACATATTTTTGAAAGACTTGTTTATAGCTTATTTTGAAGGTCGTAAAATTCTCTATCGAATGATATATCTATCATAGCGGCTAGTTGAGAAACGTTGATCGTAGGATCCTCACCGTCGAACAAGTCGCCGCTTTGCAGAAACCATTTCTAGTGTCAAAATGCCCTAGAACACTTTTCTCACCATTTTACATATATGAAATTGTAGCGCGAGAAATTCTCTATCGATTGATATACCTATCGTAGTGGCTAGATGAGAAAGCGTGTCATCGATTATCTTAGACGTTTTGCACGCACGTAGAAGATTGTTTTCCATAGCCGGAAGTATTTTTAAACATACTTGGCCTTAGAACGACTATTTCCGTATATGTAGCAATATGCAGAAACATAGCGCAGGAAAAGAGCTTTCGAAGAGGAAACGGTAAGGTTGTATTTTCATTATACAATCAGACATGTGTGATTGAAACACATGTATTTTGAAGTATAAACATAAATATATCCCGGCGTTTTTACACAGCGTATACTCTACAAAATAAAATGAAGGCGATCCTTTTTACTAGAACATGGAGTAATATACCTTATAGCTTTGGTTACGAACACATTTGAAAGAGTTAACATAAAAAAATAAATCAGAAACCACCTTATTTGTTTCATTGTCTAAATTAGATTTAAAATTTGTTTTATGAAAACAAGAAAATTTATTCGTTTTTCTTTGTCTTGCCAATAAAAATAGCCCGAGACGTTATTTCCTTCGTTGGTATTGCAGTGTTTTTAACCATGATATTTACAATTACCTATACATCAAAATAAAAATTGAAGTATACTTGTACATATATCTACATCTAGCGCTTTTTCTTTCTAATGTACCGTGAAATGACAAATCAACATGGACATTTTCGCTGCATCAAATGCACAGATGAGAGGAGAGAAAAATGTGTTGGTATCATTGTTCGGTCGGTTGCCGACGGTAACTATTTCAAATGTAAAGACTAGTAGATGTTCTGATAAAGAGTGTAATGACACATATCACAAAATCACACAAAAACAAAATAAAATAAAAACATTAACAGCTCAAAAAAAGTCAAAGTTTTTTGATCCTCCACATATAGTCCAAAAATATGCATCCGCTCAGAATATTTGTTTTTTTATTCGTTGTCGGCTATTTGCAGAGTGAAACTTGCTTCGTTATTTTTGTCATTCTAGTCTATCTAGTCTTGATCATCGTTTATAGACAAATTCTCAGGATTTTGCCCATTACGTGTTTGATATTAACCCTTATTTTCATTTTCTACATTCGATGTCTCATCATGCACTGCAGGGAGTGTCGACAAACTTGTCGGTGTATTTAAATCCACAGATGAAAAAGCTGACGATGATTGTGTCCATAATCGTTGATTCCGTTGAATACCTTGTGATTTGTCTCGCTTTTGGTGCGAAACAAATGGTTCATATATTCGTTCACAGTACCCGATGATTACTTATAGATCTTGGAAGAAATGCTTTTTTTGTTGTTTCTTCATTTTCTGCATTGTTCAACAGAGAAGAGAGAAAAATTTAAAAAGCGGGACGCCATGAACTCCGACGACAGCTTTCAGGACACATTGATTTGGTAGATGACACACACTCAAACTATGGACACAATGCACAACTGTATTATTATTACGAGAAACACTATATATACAGTGAACAGACACTGCCCCACTTAACAAAAAAATCCAGTAAAAACAAATGGAAATAAGTAATATGTTTATAGAGCTGTGACGGCTGGGTGTTTTCACGCAGGTCCGCCCGCTGTATACAAAAGTTTCGACCAGCGAATCTCACTATACTCATCAGATACAGCATGCCAAGTTACATATAAATCGATATTTTTCTTGATGAAAATTAGTCCGTTGGTGGTGAACCAGTGCTTTCAAAAGTCAGTTTTGAGAATATAGCTCCTAACATTTTTTTGTTATTACCGCTGTGGAATAATTAGTTGGAATGTGTTCTGCCGTCAGAAACACATTCTATTCCAGTGTATGTTCTTGGAAATTCAAATATTATTCATGTGTCGAATGTGATTTGATTCTTTCTGTTGTTTTAATTATATATTATATGAAATAAAATCAAGACCAGATCTTGCTTCTTCATCTTTTCGTTTCTGGTCATGATGGATTAGTTAATTTGGAGTTGTGAGTTAACAGCTTCATGATTACAGTTTACATCCTTTCATTCATGACATTCAACAGCAACCGTATTGCCTAATGTCTTCGTTGAATTCGACTACATCATCGGATGTATTAATTTCAACATTATCCACTGTTCAACAACTCATCACCCGTTATTTTATATCATGTTCAATTTTACTGGGAAATATTGGCTGTCTATTTAATCTGCTCATATTTCTATCGCTTAAATCTTTGC